GTGTCATGCTTTAAATCGCATGTGTTCAAACAGAATGTGCTCTTTGAGTAGTAATTTATAGTGTTTTCTAGTAAATCTTGGATAACTTAGATTTAAATTTGTGATAAAAGATTATTTGATTTCCAGTTATATTTCCTCTAAATCCTGTCTCCCTTATTTCTGTCTTGTCCTTTGTATTGTAATATATTTGCCTGAGTAGATCCTTGAATTTTTAGCTTTAAATCGTGTCATAAATCTGGTGTCTATTTCTATGCATGCGTCTTGTCAGCCTAGCAACTTAAGGAACTATCATAGAAAGGCAAATTTTCCAGTAACTGAGCATACCTTTGTATCTTCCTAATGCATGGAAGAGTATAGTATGTCACACATAAGTGTAATGTTGTCAATATATTGTAATGAATAACTGATGTTTCATTGGAAATGTTTAAACTGACCTGCCACATCACAAGTTACTGTTCTCTTGGCAATCAGCCATCCATGGAACATGGGGACAGATGTCAGTGCTTGCTATACTCAGAGCTTTTGCCTCTAACCATTGCATGCGTGTGTATAATAGATGGAAAATTTAGGATTTGAAAGGAGGGAATGATTGAAGCAGAGCCATAGGCTTTAGATTGAGGAAAAACAGTTTTCTCTGATATGGAAGGCTAGAACTTAGTAAGCACTGCTCTCTGCTGGGTGCCAAACTCAGTACTTGGCCATTTTTTTGCTATATTTAGTCCACAAGCACATCCCCATGAGAAACCAGTTGCTGTGCTTGCCCCCAATTACAGATGTGGAAACTGAAATTTAGATCACATGATGTGCAGAGCAGGTATAAGTTAAGTCTGTTTTGATTCCAAAACCAGGACCATTTCTCCCTTGAGCCTGGATTTTTCAAGATGTTCTGATCTGCTGACAGTCTCCCTCTCAGAGGAAACCTTGGAATTAAAAGCGGTGCCCTGGAAGCAGTGGGGATTGCGGAGTTTTCTTTCTGTCAGTCTAGAAGCTCCCCCTAATGCCTGCTGCCTCTGGCCCTGTGCTATGCCCGCTTCATGCTTCCTGCCTTCCTGGTGGTGCACTTGTGGGGCAGTGCTGCTGCAGGTGCCAAGTGGTGATTGTCCTCAGCAGCTGTGTGTGAGCTTCTCTATGTGGCTGAGCAGAAGTGTAATTTAGTAAGGACACAGGTACAGATCCTCACTCTGTTGCTGATTAGTTCCTGGCCTGGGAGCTGTTCCTTGGCCCAGTGGAACCATGGCTTGCTCTCTTGTAAGTGAGGTAGTGATCCACACAGTAGTGCTGCTTGGAATGGCCCTGATCTGTGCCTGCCCAAAGTGAGATGCCGCGCTTTCACCAGCAGCCGGCCTCAGAGCTTACCTCTGTTCAGTGGACTTCAGTGTGGTTTGGATATTTTGGTTTTGGCAGTAAGAATTTCTCAGCAAAGGAAGCAGTCTGTTGACTTACACTCAGACACTGTAGCCTCGTCTTGTTCACTAGTCATCTCTCCTCAGCATGCAGCCTGGTGACTTAGAGGAGACTTGCTCTGGGCTGGCTATGAAAATTAGCCTAGCAATGAGTCTAAGGACAGCAAATATGGACCAGACAAAGACTGGTATGGGATGGTTACTTTTACACTTTAGTTTTACCTGGCAGAGCGAGGTGACTTCTTGGCACTTGTAGAAAGGTCTGAGACAAGGCAGTGGGTCCTAGCCTTGGGTTTCCTCTCACAAGAGAACAGAGGCAGAATGAAGGCCTGGTTCAATGAGCCTAGAATGCTCTGGGCAGAGCGGGGCCAATGTAGGGGAGTCTTGGTGCAAGAATCTCTTTTTGTGGGTGGAGCATAAGTATAGTGCCTTACCTCTTCTTTTTTCTTTTCTATTTTAAAAAATGATTGTTTTAACCTGAAATTTTAAATGATGCCTGGTAAACAACATGGTCTTAAGTTTGATTTTTGGGTCCCTCCCAAAAATATTTTTGAACTTTTATGATTCTTGTTAGTAATTTCAAGCATGATGGCCTTCTTTAGAGATGAGATTGCTGGACGTTAAACACGGGGCCTTGAACATAATAAGTAAGCATGCTCTGATTACCCTAGCCCACAGCAGTCTTGTTTTGTTACTACAATTAGAAATGAGAGTCAGACAAGGTGGTATATGCCTGTAATCCCAGCACTCAGGAGGCTGATACAGGAGGACTGCTGGAGTTTGAAGCCAGCCTGGACTACAGTGTGAGTTCATGGCCAGCCAGAACTGTATAATGAAACCTTATCTCAAAAAAGAGAGAGAAAGATACAGAATTTGTCTGTTTATCTGTTAAGATTATATCATATGTTATATATCCTAATTTAAGATTGTATCCTAAGTTAACATTGTATCCTATGTGATTTTAGACTTGCAGCCTCTAGAACTGTCAGAAATAATTATCTGTTGTTTATTAATACCCAGCCTATGACTATGGTAGTTTTTTTTTTTTTTTATAGTAGCTGGAAGTGACTGGGAGAGGGAGACTGCTAACAACATAAAGCCTCCTCATCTAGATGAGCATGAAACTAGATTCCACAGTGCTTAAAAATAGATAATACTAAGACATGCTTACAGAGATGACTACTCACAAACAGGTGCCTATTTCACTCGATCACAAATGGGTGGAGAATCTGCCAAAACTGCCAAAATAAGTGAGCATGATACTTAGAGACAGATTAACATCCATAGTAACAGGGACTGGCGGTAAAACGAAGCAGGTATGACAAAAAAACAACTTGGAATCTAGTAAATGAAACAGACCTTAGCTAGAATGATACAGTCTGTTGTGGACATGGTCAAAGACGGAGCATTGGCAGTAAGTCACCAAAGGTGAGCCAGATTGCAGCAAGAGAGGCAAAATGAGAAAAATTCAAGGCCCTCAATTCAGGCAGGCCTAGAGGCAGGTCCACCTATTGATGTGATAGGTGTGTGAATAGAATTGATTTGATTTTTGACTTAGAGTAATTAGAGTCTACTTTTCTTCTACCTGCCCCAGAATCTTTCTGATAAAAGATTCCATTAGAGAGAGGGCACACTCTGTCAGGAATGGTACTTATTAGGTGACCTGACAGTGAGCTCTTGCTTATCACCATGGCCGATGCCAGTTAGTACCTCGATCAGGGCCGTGTTGGCATCTACAGGAGAAATCTGTACCACAGGGAAGAGCTCACACTTAGTAGAGAACATGACAGAAGTCTAGATGGCCGGCTGGCCAATACCCTTTCCCCTACTGCTTCGCATCCACAAGTCCCATTCCTGAAGGTTGGCTTTGGGCCTATGAAGATGTCTCAACACTGGCTGGAACTCTGTCAGGTTTTAAGACACATTTGGATGATTTTTACCTGGTTGGCAGGCAGGAGCAAGCAGACCCTATGTTAGTGGCCTTGGTGAGGGGGCATTTGAGTGTGAGGAGACAATCCTGCATGGCAGGTCCAGGGAGCAGAGCCTGTGTTGTTGGCCTGGGGAAAGGACCTTACCTTGTTGGCCTGGGGGAAGAAGGGGCCTTCAGTTGGTCTGGATATGAGAATCATGTGTTGCTAGCTGGGAAAGAGAAGGCTCTGCTGGCCTGGGGAGAAGAATCTCTATGTTGTTATCTGGGGAGCCACCATGGTTTTGGCCTGGTGAAGGGCCCTGTGTTTTTGGCTGGAGGAGTCCGCTATGCTGAGCTGGGTGGGGGAGGCAAATAGAAGTCCTAATTCAAATACCATGGACTCCTGGCCTTATTCCTGATATTTCTTGAATAGATAATTTCCTCATTTGCTGTTATCCTTTGAGCCATTTCCAGAAGCTTTGAAGAGTGGTTTTCATCATTTCAGGTCTCCCTGGGGAGCAGGCTGCAAAGTTCCTGCCAGGCTAAGTTCGGCTCACCCACAGTCATGATTTTTTGGAGAAGAAAAACTAGTTTAAAAGAAATTTTGCTCTTTTCCAGTGCTTTCTGTGGCAGTGTCATCTCTATTTCTCTCTCACTTTACTTGCCCAATCTCACTGTGGCTCACATAGGCACATGAGTCGTGGTCTGGTTAAAGCAGACTTCATGGGCCTGTGCTTTCTGTGATGAGATTGACTGTGAGCTGCAAACAATTGCTACCAGTGCCCTGTAAGAGCATCGCCTGTTTTAAACTAGCTTTCTAGAATTATCTAGCTCAAGCACATGTTCTTTTGAAGGACTGATTATTTATCCGGTAGATCTTTATTCTTGTCTTTTAAAGGAAAAGCACCTAAAGCCAGAAACACTGGCAGATGATTTTACTTATTTCAGAGTTGCTTTGCTCCAAATTCACATTGCTCAATTCAGTTCATTTGTGGTATCTGTGAACCGGTGTCATAACACAAGGTTTAGCACAGAACAGTGCTGCAGGACTCCTGCAGCTTCTCTCTGCCTTTTGCAAGATCTCCTACACTGCTGCATGCATAGTGTTTTGAGAATGCCTTTACAGAGAATACAAAAGGCTTCCTAGTCCTAGCAGTAAGCCCATTCTTCATAGTTGACTTTGCTCCAATGATTCAGGGAGACTATAGGGACTAAGGGAAAATCAGAATAGAGAGGGGACTAGAATTGGATAGTGACCTTCTAGGCCTTTTTTCCTTGATTTCTCTAAGGGCTCTAGGTCTCAGATCTGTGACTGACTTACAAATGTCTTCAGATGCTTCATTTTGGGATGCCAATTGAGGAAAATGCTTTTATTTCCTGAAGTCTAAAGAGGTGGACCTGGACACTCATTATCCCCTGCTGTGCTTTCAGCAGTGCCAGGGTGGAGGGAAGTCAGATGGCCTGGGTTAGACTCTCATTCCATTGGGAATACCTATGTCACCTTACGGCAAATGGTTGATCTCCATTTCTCTGGAGGAGAATGGGAATCCTTTGCCATGTATCTTGAGATTGGGCTGCCTGTGTGTGTGGACTATGAGGCCAATGGAAGTCTTGCTTAAGAGGTTTTTTTTTTTTTTTAATTTATTCATGTATGTGTTGATTTATTCCTTTACTTTGCTGCTTTGCAGGAGTCTTCAATGCTTGCAAAAGAGCTCAACATTTGCAGGGAACAGCTGCTTGAGAAGGAAAAAGAAATTGCTGAACTGAAAGCAGAAAGGAACAACATGAGGGTCAGTGGAGCTCTGGTTTAAGTGTTTTGTGCTTTTTCCTTCTGTAGAGTGTGTTCAGTATTAAATGTTGCTTAAAATTTGTGATAGAAGGCAAAGCATGGTGGCATATGCCTTCAATCCCAACATTCTGAGCCAGGAATGTCTTGAGTTAGAGGTCAGCCTGGGCTAGCTAGTAAGTCCTCAAGCCAGCCTAGACTACAAAATGAGACCTTCTTGTTAATAAAAGAAATTAGTGATGGAAATTCATGACATTCGAATACAATTGAGGGAAATTTACCTAACTCTACTGAATTGTAGGAATTTGAACTTGTTTGACCATGAGATTATGAAGGATTTGAATGTGAAATTGAAGGTGCTCTTTACACGCCCCCTTTGGCCTGGTTTCAGCTGCTCCTGGAACATCTGGAGTTCCTTGTCTCCAGGCATGAACGCTCTCTCGAAACGACTGTGATGAAGCGGCAGGCGCGGTGTCCTGCAGGTGTGTCCACAGAGATGGAAGTGCTAAAAGCACTGACATCCTTATTTGACCACCACAAGACCCTGGACGAAAAGGTACATGAGCTACACTAGTGGTTCTGGGTTCTTACACTTGCTGGGTTCATGGCAGACTTTGCATGTGTTTGTTTACCTTTAAGGTTTGCTAAGTTTTTGAGTTCTTGTAAACAGACTTTCTGTATTAAAAGGCAATGTTCTGCATAATCAACAAACACTAACTGGAATGTGAGTCTTCAAGTGATTATTTCTGAATATTGACTGCCCATTAAGAACTGGATAGTGTTCATTTATTTAGGAACAAGAGTTTCCCGGCCTTAATATTTAAAGCCATTAACAAGGACATTTTCTTGACAGTACTAGCAATGAAAGACATTGAAAGTACTTTATTATATGCCTTTCATCAATATCAGGATAACTATATGGAAAGTGTGCGTATGCATATAAAAACTCAACTCTTTTCAGGTGCGAGAGCAATTACGTGTAGCACTGCAAAGGTGCAGCTTGCTGGAAGAGGAACTGGGTGCCACGCAGAAGGAGGTAATTGTGGGACATCATCCTAGCCCTGAAAAGGGAAAATTATTTTATTTTAATCTCTTAAAAAAACAGTGTGAAGCCTGTAATACTTTTGGATTAGATTTTTATTTCAGATTGCAAGAATCTCTAAATTTGTTGTCAAGCAGTCAGTACATTCTGTTTCTAGTAATCTGGTTCTGCTATGGATGGTCAGCTTTGGCATGTACTGTCTTTTTTATACTATGTTCAGCACTGTAGAATTATGTTTTTCCAAATGGAATTTTGCTGTCTTTACTCATTACTCTTCCATAAGTTATTGTAGTCTCATACTCAGTTTTCGATTGTAGCTAATGACTCTTAAAAAACAGAATGATCAGAAAAAATCACCAAGAGATGGAGTGCTTGACCATGAACAAGAAGAAACACCAAGCACTAGTGGAAAGGTAAGTCCTTGAGATCTCTCTTTGTTCTGTTGCTGATTTCTTATATTTTGTGGTTCGTGTGTGATGCTGTTTGGATGCTGTTGCTGGAATGGCCTGCTTCCAGCTAAAGTGATTGTTGAGAGTCCTATCATCCAACAGATGGCATAAATCCATTTTGATAGTCCCTATGTTCAAAAGTATTTTATTTGGTAGTACACTAAGGTTATTTAAGAGTGTCCATTTTACCCATCAGAGATCTTCTGCTGGCTCCTTAAGCCATGAGGAAGACCTTGCCAAAATAATTGTGCTCCAAGAAGTCATACACAAACATTCAAAAGAGCAGAGTCAGATGAAGGAGCTCCTGGCTGCACTTTCCAGCCATGTGTCAGAGCTGCAAGAAAATCTTGACACAGCAAGAAAGGATCTCATCAAGTCTGAAGAGATGAACAAGAAATTGGAACAAGATGTTCATGAAATAAGTGATAAAAATTACAGGGTTGTCATAATGTTGAGTGCTTGGAGTGTTAAGGATAATGATTCCTTTTTTTTTTTTTTTTTGTCCTTTCCTTGGTCGGTTATTTTCAGCATTTGCACTGTTGAATGAGTATAAATATGAATAATACAACACAGTATTGCTGTCAGATCGTGACATACCGCCTCCCCCTGGTTGAGAAATTTCTCCTTTTCTGTGGTCTTTTAAAAAGGTAGAGGAGAACTTGCCCAGCTTTTCCCACTTAGTTTATGGGAGTTTGTCCTCCACCCTCATGTGGATTCTTCATCTTTGCAGCTTCTTGGCTGTCATCATGTGTTCTTCTTTATGTTCAGCTTCTCAAGTACATGCACTCCTTAAACAAGGATTTTCAGTACTAGTTGTGCTTTGAGTTCGCTAAAGAGATGTGAGTATTCTCTGGGACTGTGGCAAAGGGAGCATTATCAGGTGTCTTCTAATTTTTTCATATTTTTCCTCAGGCACAGAGGTATGGTATTGAATTTTGGATGTTACATCAGCTCTAATGTGTGAATAGTTTTTGGGTAGTTTAGGCTTTGTGCTTATCTTGCCTATGAGATCTCATTTCATGTGAAATTGTATTTACAACATTCTGCTTTGCACCTGTACTTGTATCTTTGGTTTTATTTCTCTTGCTATACATTTTACTTTTTAGTGGCATTCTTAGCCAGAATATAATCAAATTAAGCAAGTCATTTTAGTGGAATGTTCAGTGTCAGCAGTCTGTTTTGTGACATTTGGATGTATTTATAATTTATACTGTTAACTAACTGAGCAATATTTTTCTTTTCTTTTCCTGTTTTTTTTTTTTTTGGACATATTGGGTTTGAACCTAGGGTTTCTCACATACTAGGCAAGCACCAAACCACTCACCAAACCATTTTCTTTTCTTTTTTCTTTTCTTTTGGTACTATGAATTGAACTCATGATGTTCTGCTTGACAGGCAAGTGCTATGCCGTGGAGCTATATCCCTGACCCTTTTTCTTCTTTTCAAACTTATTTTATTTATTAGTGTTTGGTTTTTTGAAAAAAGGATCTTGTGGTGTAATTCAAGCTGGCCTTGAACTCATGGCAGTTCTCCTGCCTCAGCCTCTCACATGCTGGGATTACAGACATGTGGCACCAAGCCTGGCATTGTATTTTCATCTTTTTGACAATCTCATTTATCAGTTGTGTCCTTCTTTCCAGTATTTGTAAAAGAAGTGCAGCAACACATCTGTAATCCCAGCTACTTGTGGACTGAAGTGGGAGGTTTGCCAGTTTAAGGTCAGCCTGGGCAATTTAGGAAGACACTGACTCAAAAAGAGCTGAGTATCCCAAGCATAGTGGGTGAACCCTATCTTTCTAGCTACCCAGGAGACTGAGGCAGACAATCATAAGTTCAAGGGTAGGCTGCCCAATTTAGCAAGACCTTGTTTTGAAATTAAAAGGAAAAAAATATGGGACCATAGCTCAGTGTTAGAGTACCCCTGCCTTCTATTCCCAGTACCACACACAACCACGGAGGAAAACTCTTTCTTCCTGGTTCTCTAATTCAGCATGCTGGCTGACGGTCTGTGTGCTTCCATTGTTGGTTTTGATTTCTTATGCCACCCTTGTGTTTGTTTTATTTTAACCATCTCCAGATTCAATTCTAATCCAGGCCTCAGGTCCCTATCAATTTGTAGTTTGTCCATGAAGCTCCCCTCTCAGCCCCTCCCCATTCTGTGATGGCTCTGCACAGCTAACCAGGCAAGCACGTGTGAGTCTGAGCTGGATTATGACTGATTAGTGGGGCTTGGGGTTTTTGTCATTAAAAATGTATTTTGCTCAGTAGTGATCAATTATATTTAATATATAATTTGTCAATGTGGTTACAAGCAAGATATAATTGGTTGAATGTTTTTCCTTAGATTGTACAGGATCTGCATGATTCATGAGTGAAGTATTCCCTAGGTTAAAAAATAATCTGGGCTCACTGCAGTGGCACATGCCTGTAATGCCAGCTACTGGGGAAGCTAAGAAGGAGGATTTTAAGTCTGAGGCCAGCATGAGAAGTTTAGCAATGTGCTATGTCAAAATAAAAATATAAACGTGGCTGGCAGTGTAGTTTGTTGAGTGGCCCAGCTGGATTCAACCCTGCATACTGCAGGAGCAAGGGGAGGGGCCACTGCTGAGTGTAAAATTTATGGGAACTTTATACAGACAATACGAATCAGATTTTATTGATTATAATCAGAATTCTAAATCTCATCAACTTATAGGGCATATGCTATAGTCTTTAATGGACTACTTTTTAATTAAAATGCCTCCTATCTAGTACTGTGCTAGCTTTTATTGTTACGTATTTTAGGATGCCTAGCTTTCTTTCTTTTTTTTTTTTTTTCCATTCCATTCCACTCCTTTGTATTCCACAGTATCTCGGATGGAATCTAGGCCTGTGCACTGAGATACACACATGACCCTTTTTTTTTTCAGTATTATTTTTTATTGTGAGACAGGATCGTGCTAAATCACCAAGATGAGCTCAAACTTGGCAGCCTTCCTGCCTCAGCCTACCAGAGTGCTGTGATTTCATGTGTATGCCACTGCACGAGGGATAAATGATATATTTTAGGAAGTTGTAAATCATATTCTAGGTGAAGATTTTACTGCATTGCACAAAAAATGATTAACTAAAAATAAGTTTGTTCAGTTTTTTGTGTTTTTCTGAGACAGGATGACACCATGCAGTTCAGGCTGGCTTTGAACTCATGTAGTGCAGGTTGGCAGTTCTCCAGGCTTAGCTTCACAAATGCGGGGATTACAAGTCTGCACCACCATGCCTGGCTCTTCAGTTTTATAATAGATGTTGCTGTAACATCCTTGTCATCATGGGAATATTAGAGAGTAGGTGGTTATCAGGGCCCTTTGTTCTATACAGTGTCTTGCTTTAAATCGCATGTGTTCAAATAGAATGTGCTCTTTGAGTAGTAATTTATAGTGTTTTCTAATAAATCTTGGATAACTTAGATTTAAATTTGTGATAAAAGATTATTTGATTTCCAGTTATATTTTCTCTAAATCCTGTCTCTCTTATTTCTGTCTTGTCCTTCATATTGTAATATATTTGCCTGAGTAGATCCTTGAATTTTTAGCTTTAAATCGTGTCATAAATCTGGTGTCTATTTCTTTGCATGCGTCTTGTTAGCCTAGCAACTTAAGGAAACATCATAGAAAGGTAAATTTTCCAGTAAGTGAGCATAGCTTTGTATCTCCCTAATGCGTGGAAGAGTATAGTATGTCACACATAAGTGTAATGTTGTCAATATATTGCAATGAATAAGTGATGTTTCATTGGAAATGTTTAAACTGACCTGCCACATCACAAGTTACTGTTCTCTTGGCAATCAGCCATCCATGGAACATGGGGACAGATGTCAGTGTTTGCTTCACTCAGTGCTTTTGCCTCTAACCATTGCATGCATGTGTATAATAGACATAGAATTTAGGATTTGAAAGGATGGAATGATTGAAGCAGAGCCATAGGCTTTAGATTGAGGAAAACTAGTTTTTTTCTGATATGGAAGGCTAGAACTTAGTAAGCACTGCTCTCTGCCAGGTGCCAAATGCTTGGGCATTTTTTTGCTATATTTAGTCCACAAACACATCCCTGTGAGAAACCAGTTGCTGTGCTTGCCCCCAATTACAGATGTGGAAACTGAAATTTAGATCACATGATGTGCAGAGCAGGTAGGAGTTAAGTGTGTTTTGATTTCAAAACCAGGACCATTTCTCCCTTGGGCCTAGATTTGTCAAGATGCTCTGATCTGCTGGGAGTCTCCCTCTCAGAGTAAAACTTGAAAGTAAAAGCAGTACCCTGGGAGCAGTGGGGATTGTGGGGTTTTCTTTCTGTCCATCTAGAAGCTCCCCCTAATGCCTGCTGCCTCTGGCCCTGTGCCATGCCCGCTTCATGCTTCCTGCCTTCCTGGTGGTACACTTGTGGGGCAGTGCTGCTGCAGGTGCCAAGTAGTGATTGTCCTCAGCAGCTGTGTGCGAGCTTCTCTATGTGGCTGAGCAGAAGGGAAATTTACTAAGGACACGGGTACAGATCCTCACTCTGTTGCTGATTAGTTCCTGGCCTGGGAGCTGTTCCTTGGCCCAGTGGAACCATGGCTTGCTCTCTTGTAAGTGAGGTAGTGATCCACACAGTAGTGCTGCTTGGAATGGCCCTGATCTGTGCCTGCCCAAAGTGAGATGCCGCGCTTTCACCAGCAGCCGGCCTCAGAGCTTACCTCTGTTCAGTGGACTTCAGTGTGGTTTGGATATTTTGGTTTTGGCAGTAAGAATTTCTCAGCAAAGGAAGCAGTCTGTTGACTTAGACTCAGACACTGTGGCCTCCTCTTGTTCACTAGTCATCTCTCCTCAGCATGCAGCCTGGTGACTTTGAGAAGACTTGCTCTGGGCTGGCTGTGAAGATTAGCCTAGCGGTGAGTCTAAGGACAGCAAATATGGGCCAGACAAAGAGCGATATGGGATGGTTACTTCTTCATTTCAGTTTTACTGGGCAGACTAAGGTGACTTCTTGGCACTTGTAGACATGTCTGAGACAAGGCAGTGGGCCCTAGCCTTGTGCTTTCCTCCCACAAGAGAACAGAGGCAGAATGAAGACCTGGTTCAGTGAGCCTGGAAGGCTCTGGGCAGAGCAGGGGCTAGTGTAGGGGAGTCTTGGTGCAAGAATCTCTTTTTGTGGGTGGAGCATACGTATAGTGCCTTACCTCTTCTTTTTTCTTTTCTATTTTAACAAATGATTATTTTAATGTGAAATTTAAATGATGCCTGGCAAACAATGTCCTAAGTTTGATTTCTTTTTCCCTCCCAAAAAGTTTTTTTGAACTTTTATGATTCATGTTGTTGATTTCAAGCTTGATGGACTTTTTTAGAGATGAGATTGCTGGCGGTTAAACACAGGGCCTCAAACAAGCTAAGTAAGTGAGCTCTGGTTACCCCAGCCCCCGACAGTCTTTTGTTTTGTTACTACAATTAGAAATGAGAGCCAGACAAGGTGATATATGCCTGTAATCCCAGCACTCAGGAGGCTGATAAGGGAGGACTGCTGGAGTTTGAAGCCAGCCTGGGCTATCATGTGAGTTCATGGCCAGCCAGAACTGTATAATGAAACCTTATCTCAAAAAAAAGAGAGAAAGATACAGAATTTATCTGTTTATCTGTTAAGATTATATCCTAGCGGGCTGGAAGTTTAGCTCAGCAGCATAAACGCCTGCCTTGTAAGCAGGCAGTCGTGAGTTCGATCCCCAGCACCAATAAAAAGGAAAAAGACAAAAAAAAAATTATATCCTAAATGCTCTCAGCTCACACTAGTCTAGGTGGTCTTCAGTGAGCTGCTACAGGACTATAATGGAATCTGTATCCTTTATACCATTGTACAGATAAATAAATTAACTATTCACCACTTGTTGTTCACCATGAATGTTTCATGAAATCTAGTCCTGCTTCAAAACCCGAAAATAACAACCTTCTAAACAGGGCCTAACCAGACCCTGAAAGAGTTCACATATGCACTATTTCCACAGTCCTGCCTTCCTCAACACATAGGCATACTCATGGGCCATCCCCTAAAAGAAATCCCAGGGTCTGCGTGACCCTCTTTTAATAATATACCCAGGATTATTATTTTTTTTTATTTAAGGAGAAAAAGAAAAAAAAAAAAAACAGAAAAAGGATACAAGTGATACAGAATTTCAAAAAAAAAAAAAATAAACAGTAGGAAGTCACTAGTTAATAGATTACATACTGTCATCTTAGAAATGGTTGTTCAGATTACAAAATTAAAGCATATAAAGTAGACATTCAAACTGTGAGACTACAAACAATTCTGTTCAATGATCCCACAAAAACTTAGCAATATGGTTATCTATCTTATACACTTAAATATACATGCAATTATATCCTTTAGAGCACTTTCTTTTCCTCTCTTTTTTACTATGACAATTATACATTTTGGGTTTTATTACTCCCACAGTTCTTATTACTTTCTATTTGAAGAGAATAAAATCCAATGTGACATAACAAAACAGAGTCAGTCAAATCAAAAGAATGGATATAGTATATAATATAAAAACGGAAGACAAAGTGATGATCATTGGTTACCATAATGCCTCTTGCTATCTTAAAAAGAATTGCCTATATCATCAGTTATAATAAAACTGAAAACATTAAAGAACAAAACCAATAAAAGCAAAACATTGGAGACATTGCAGGACTTCAAAAAAAGATAATATGCAAACCCAAAACCCAGGATTATTTTATGAAGCCACATGGAAGTAGGGTTTTAGGCTGCATGCAAATGCTTCTGCTCATAACATTTGGTCCACACAGTGAGAAACAGAAGCCACACACATGCATATTTGGGTCTTCGCTCATGCTGTCCTTGTCTTGTTTCTTGCTAGAGGTAAAAGTATTGACAGTTTCCCTGAGGCTTCGGCCCCCACTAGTGTTCCTTTGAGTGACATCAGTAACTGAAGATATGTGTCACAGGCTCTTCAGTAATGAGAGTAACTTTGTTAACCTGAAGTGATAAAGTGCAGTGAACAGGCTTCGTTTAGGACTTCACTGTCCCTCAGTAACTATCCTCAGAGGTACCTGAGGTTGTACGGAGAACAGAATCTTGAAGGGGGGGTGATGCTGTCCCTGGGCTTCCCGGGGCTTCCATGAAGGAAGGCTATAGGTCAGCCTGCCCTGCTCTCTCTCTGCTATGTGGTCCATTTCCCCCAGACAAACAGGCCTTCAGGTTGGCATTCAATTAAAATGCGACTTCTCAGGACAGGTAGAAAGTTTAGCTAATAGGTTTTGAGTCAGTTTATGTTATTTAAAGCCTATGTGATGTGTTTTCTTATAATGTACTGTTAGCTGATGTTGTTTTTTCACTCCTCAGTTGCTAGCTTGCAGAGAAGAAGAACGAGATGACAAGACAACGATAAAATGTGAAACTTCCCCTCTCTCCTCTCCGAAGTCCCTTCAGCTAGACAGGCTGCACACGGGGGCGTTGCAAATAGTCAGCCACGAGGACATCAGGGACATGCAAAAGTAAGGAGCAGGTCTCGTAGGCCACCAGACCCCTGAGAAACCTGCTTGTCTTAGTTTTTAAGAACATCTATTAATCTTTTCCTGTGAGAAAAACCAAGTTTTTAAAGAATTCTCAGCAAGCTCATTTGGTTGTGATTATTTAAACATTAGACCTAGAATGTGTTCTCCTGTTCTGCAGCTGTAGTGACATCCAGTGGAAAAGGCCATCTGTTTGGGCAAAGTTTAGAAAGAATAGGAATTATTTGAAATTAGCACTTGAGAGAAAAGCTCCATTTCTTCAGATCCCACACACTCACTTCTTTTAAGAACTTTCTTTCTATTCCTGGTGAAGAATTTGCCACACGGATGTGGCAGGTTCTGGATCGTGCTATTCTGTGGACAATCGGTGCCTCTCAGGTACCCTCCCACACTCTGGGTCTTCTAAGCTCTTGAGAGTCCCACATTGTCCCTATCCCTTTAGGAAGCATGTTCCATCAGGAGGCCATGAAGGCTTGGTTACTTATAGACTGTTGTTTTCCACACTTGCTCTTAGAAGCTTTTGTTCCATACCAGGCAGTATGATCAAGCAGGCACATTGGTCTCCACAGTGTCCTGAGAGATAGTACAGCTCTCACTTTGCAGGAGAGCAGGATCCAAGGAACCAGCCTGCAGGAGCTGCTGAGAGGGAAGGTGGAATTCCAGTTCTTCTGGCTTCTGAGACCTTGTTCTCTTTCCTGAGGGCTGAGTGTAAACCTCACTGGCTGAGCAAGGCCCCTGCAGAGGGTGTTCCCTTAGATGTCCAAACCAGGCAGGCTAGAGTACAGGCCTCCTCTGAGCAGGGAGCAACATCAGAGTCTTGGCTTTCCAGACATAGGTCTGTGGAAGCATGACTGGGACCCTGCATTGCTATGCATAGTGTGCTGTGGGTAAGAGACTGGAAAGGATCTTCAGGGAGTTGAAGTAGGAATATTAAAAATGCAGACTGTTTTGGTACATGTGAGTGGACTGTGGAGTTCTAAAGAGGGCATGTGGTAAAAGTCCATTTTCTTTCCTTCAAGATCAAAAAGTGCCCAGGATGGTCCTGTGAGCAATCCCAGTAGCAGTGACAGCAGGCAGGACTCGCCCCACAAAGCCCCAAAGAAGAAGGGCATCAAGTCCTCCATTGGTCGTTTGTTTGGCAAAAAGGAAAAGGGTCGGCCTGGACAAACTGGCAAAGAATCACCAGGACAAGGTGGGTGGGGTTTCGGCAGCTGTCCTAACTGCTGGGAATGGGAGAACGTGAACTTTGTCCTGTGTGCCTGCTGCAGGTGCGCAGTGCCCACGTGGAGTCATGGCTGAGGGTTCTCCAGAAAAGCCCAGTCTGCTTTCTCAGTCTGCCCATGTGTGAACCAAAGCAGAGCAGTGGACATTCATTTGGCGTGAATGAATAACCCTCATAAGTGCTACTTTACACTCTTGAACATTTGTATGTGTTTGCTTGGAAGCTTACCCTTCAGAAATTATTTAGCTCTCTAGCTGCAGAACCTTCAACCTATTTGTGAAACATATAACTTTGCCATGTTAATTTACTGTAAATTTGGGAGCTTTTCTGATTTTTTAATAGCTGTTCTTTCTGAAACAGAAACCTCATCTCAGGATGCGTTCCGACATAGCAAATTGGGAGGAAAGGATGAAAAAAATCGTCAACTTCAAAAACAGTAAGCTTTTTGTTATTTCTCCATCTCATGAAACAGTTTTCTGAGTTAACAGTCATTCTTAGCTGATTTTAAGTGTAATTTCTAGCTATGTAAATACATTGTCTTTTGAAAGATGAACCTAAAGCAGTGATAGAGCTTTCAGTGATACAAAGAGCTTGCTGCAGCATGCAAACCATAGGTTTGCCTCCATTGACCTAAAGCCTGTTTTAAGCCATCATGTCTGGTGAACAGAGGACATTTGGAAATCTTGACTGAATTCACACATGTATTCTCAGTCTACCTTTTCAGAGTTGTCTCCCAGGATGATAGAATGGGTAATAGTTAGGCTTGGCCATTTGAGCTCTGGCCGCTGAATCCTGGTTAATTCTCTAGTTAGCTGTGTGTCTCTGACAAAGTTACTTATCCTGTGCTTCAGTTTTCTCAACTGTCAAATGGCAGTTACAGTTGTTCATACATCATGTGGCTGTTTTCAGTTCAATAGAATTATATATGTGCATGTATATGTTTTATAACATGGACACAATTCCTAAATAAGTTACAATTACAGTCAGGCTTCTGAGACCTTGTTTTCTTTCCTGTTGACTGAGTGCATCCCTCAGTGCCTGAGCAAGGCCCCTGCAGAGGGTGTTCCCTTATGTGTCCAAACAAGGCAGGCTAGAGTACAGGCCTGCTCTGAGCAGGGAGCACATCAGAATCTTGGCTTTCCAGACACAGGTCTGTGGAAGCATTACTGGGACCCTGCATCACAATGCATATTGTACTGTGTGTAAGAGACTCGAAACGTTTTTTAGGAAGTTGAAGGTAGGAATATTAAAAATGCAGACTGTTCTTGTACGTGTGAATGGACTGTGGAGCTGGGAAGAGGGTGGTAAAAATCCATTTTATTTCTTTGAAGCTCAACAGGCTCCCAGGAAGGTCCTGTGAACAATCCCAGTACCAGTGACAGCAGGCAGGACGCGCTCCACAAAGCCCCAAAGAAGAAGAGCATCAAGTCCTCCACTGGTCGTTTGTTTGGCAAAAAGAAAAAGGGTCCGCCTGGACAAACTGGCAAAGAATCACCAAGACAAGGTGGGCCGGTTTTAGGCAGCTGTGCTAACTGCTGGGATTTGGAGAGCATGAGCTTTTTCCTATTTACCTGCCACAGGTGTCCAGTGCCCACAAGGAATCATGGCTGAGCATTCTCCAGACAGCCCAGTCTGCCCACATGTGAACCAGAGCAGAGCAGTGGACATTCATTTGGCGTGAATGAATAACCCTCTTATATGCTAATTTATACGCTTGAACATTTATATGTGTTTGCTCGGAAGCTTACACTTCAGAAATGATTCAGCTCTCTACCTGCAGAATCTTCTTCCTATTTGTGAAACATATAACTTTGCCATGTTAATTTACTCTAAATTTGGTGAATTTTCTTCTTTTTTGTAGCTGTTGTTTCTGAAACAGAAAACTCATCTCAGGATGCCTTCCAACTTAGCAAATTGGGAGGAAAGGATGAAAAAAATCATCAACTTCAAAAACAGTAAACTTTTTGTTATTTCTCCATCTCATGAAATATTTTTCTGAGTTAACAGTCATTCTTAGCTGATTTTAAGTGTAATTTCTAGCTATGTAAATACATTGTCTTTTGAAAGATGAACCTAAAGCAGTGATAGAGCTTTCAGTGATACAAAGAGCTTGCTGCAGCATGCACGCCATAGGTTTGCCTCCACTGACCTAAAGCCTGTTTTAAGCCATCATGTCTGGAGAACAGAGGACATTAGGAAGTCTTGACTGAATTCACACATGTATTCTCAGTCTACCTTTTCAGAGTGTTCTCCCAGGATAATAGAATGGGTAATAGTTAGGCTTGGCCATTTGAGCTCTGGCCGCTGAATCCTGGTTAATTCTCTAGTTAGCTGTGTGTCTCTGACAAAGTTACTTATCCTGTGCTTCAGTTTTCTCATCTGTCAAATGGCAGTTACAGTTGTTCGTACATCATGTGGCTGTTTTTCAGTTCAATAGAATTATATATGTGCATGTATATGTTTTATAACATGGACACAATTCCTAAATAAGTTACAATTACAGTCAGGCTTCTGAGACCTTGTTTTCTTTCCTGTTGACTGAGTGCATCCCTCAGTGCCTGAGCAAGGCCCCTGCAGAGGGTGTTCCCTTATGTGTCCAAACAAGGCAGGCTAGAGTATAGGCCTGCTCTGAGCAGGGAGCACATCAGAATCTTGGCTTTCCAGACACAGGTCTGTGGAAGCATTACTGGGACCCTGCATCACAATGCATATTGTACTGTGTGTAAGAGACTCGAAACGTTTTTTAGGAAGTTGAAGGTAGGAATATTAAAAATGCAGACTGTTCTTGTACGTGTGAATGGACTGTGGAGCTTGGAAGAGGGTGGTAAAAATCCATTTTATTTCTTTGAAGCTCAACAGGCTCCCAGGAAGGTCCTGTGAACAATCCCAGTACCAGTGACAGCAGGCAGGATGCGCTCCACAAAGCCCCAAAGAAGAAGAGCATCAAGTCCTCCACTGGTCGTTTGTTTGGCAAAAAGAAAAAGGTTCTGCCTGGACAAACTGGCAAAGAATCACCAAGACAAGGTGGGCCGGTTTTAGGCAGCTGTCCTAACTGCTGGGATTGGGAGAGCCTGAGATTTTTCCTATGTGCCTGCTGCAAGTGTCCAGTGCCCACGAGGAGTCATGGCTGAGCGTTCTTCTGACAGCCCAGTTTGCCCACATGTGAACCAGAGCAGAGCAGTGGAAATTCATTTGGCTTGAATGAATAACCCTCTTATATGCTAATTTATACGCTTGAACATTTATATGTGTTTGCTCGGGAGCTTACCCTTCAGAAATTATTCAGCTCTCTACCTGCAGAATCTTCTTCCTATTTGTGAAACATATAACTTTGCCATGTTAATTTACTCTAAATTTGGGGGCTTTTCTTCTTTTTTGTAGCTGTTGTTTCTGAAACACCAAACTCATCTCAGGATGCCTTCCAACTTAGCAAACTGGGAGGAAAGGATGAAAAAAATCGTCAACTTCAAAAACAGTAAGCTTTTTGTTATTTCTCCATCTCATGAAACAGTTTTCTGAGTTAACAGTCATTCTTAGCTGATTTTAAGTGTAATTTCTAGCTATGTAAATACATTGTCTTTTGAAAGATGAATCTAAAGCAGTGATAGAGCTTTCAGTGATACAAAGAGCTTGCTGCAGCATGCACGCCATAGGTTTGCCTCCATTGACCTAAAGGCTGTTTTAAGCCATCATGTCTGGAGAACCAAGGACATTTGGAAATTTTGACTTAACTCACACATTCATTCTCAGTCTCCCTTTGCAGACTTGTCTGCCTAGTGGACAGAGTGGTTAAGAGTTAGGCTTAGACATTTGAGCTCTGGCCGCTGAATCCTGGTTAATTCTCTAGTTAGCTGTGTGTCTCTGACAAAGTTACTTAGCTTGTGCTTCAGTTCTCTAAACTGTCAAATGGCAGTTACAGTTGTTCATACATCATGTGGTTTTTTTTCAGTTCAATAGAATTATATATGTGCACGTATATGTTTTAAAACATGGACACAGGTCCTAAATAAGTTACAATTATAGTCAGGCTTCTGATACCTTGTTCTCTTTCCTGTTGACTGAGTGCATCCCTCAGTGCCTGAGCAAAGCCCCTGCAGAGGGTGTTCCCTTATGTGTCCAAACCAAGCAGGCTAGAGTACAGGCCTGCTCTGAGCAGGGAGCACATCAGAATCTTGGCTTTCCAGACACTGGTCTGTGGAAGCATTACTGGGACCCTGAATCACAATGAATATTGTATTGTGTGTAAGAGAGTTGAAAAATTCTTTAGGAAGTTGAAGGTAGGAATATTAAAAATGCACACTTTTCTTGTACATGTGAATGGACTGTGGAGCTGTGAAGAGGGTGGTAAAAGTCCATTTTCTTTCCTTCAAGCTCAACAGGCTCCCAGGATGGTCCTGTGAGCGTTCCCAGCAGCAGTGACAGCAGGGAGGACCCACTCCACAAAGCTCTAAAGAAGAAGAGCATCAAGTCCTCCACTGGTCGTTTGTTTGGCAAAAAGGAAAAGGGTCCGCCTGGACAAACTGGCAAAGAATCACCAAGACAAGGTGGGCCGGTTTTAGGCAGCTGTCCTAACTGCTGGGATTGGGAGAGCATGAGCTTTTTCCTATTTACCTGCCACAGGTGTCCAGTGCCCACAAGGAATCATGGCTGAGCATTCTCCAGACAGCCCAGTCTGCCCACATGTGAACCAGAGCAGAGCAGTGGACATTCATTTGGCGTGAATGAATAACCCTCTTATATGCTAATTTATACGCTTGAACATTTATATGTGTTTGCTCGGAAGCTTACCCTTCAGAAATTATTCAGCTCTCTACCTGCAGAATCTTCTTCCTATTTGTGAAACATATAACTTTGCCATGTTAATTTACTCTAAATTTGGTGAATTTTCTTCTTTTTTGTAGCTGTTGTTTCTGAAGCCGAAAACTCATCTCAGGATGCCTTCCAACTTAGCAAATTGGGAGGAAAGGATGAAAAAAATCGTCAACTTCAAAAACAGTAAGCTTTTTGTTATTTCTCCATCTCATGAAACAGTTTTCTGAGTTAACAGTCATTCTTAGCTGATTTTAAGTGTA